TGATGGGGGTTGCCCAAGCCCGGGGGTTTGTTGGGCTCACCGCGGGACCAACCCTGCCCACACAGATAAAACTGTTTTGGATACATTTGTGTCTGAGATATATGTATGATGATTCTTTTTCTGACAGATGCAGTAGTAATGCTAAGTGGTCCAAAGTGCAGAAGATATCTCCATCATTTGTAGAGGTCTGAACCGTCTGATGTTCTTAACAATTGAGAGGAGGCCCGATTGATCAAAGGCTCCCAAGGGCTCATGCAAGCTCAGCTTATTTAGTTTAAAAAAAAGCTCTGCTTATTTACTAAATGAGCCTACAATTGTTAATTTAGATTTAAATTCAGTTCGTTTAGCTAAATCAAACAACGAGCCTTTTACTGAACTGTGTTTGTAACAGTTCATGAACCACTTGCGACCCTGAAAAAACCCATCAAAACTATTGCGAAATCTACAAAGTCATAGAATTCTTTTTCATTGGAAGAAAAGTCAGAGAAAAATGAAGTATACATTAAATGAATATGCACAATTAGAGTAGTGGCAAAACAAATGCACGTACAATAACACAAGCAAATAATACCACATATAAAATTAACTTAACGTCAACAAGTAAACATTACTTTAAATGTATTGGCAACTATCAGCAGCTAATTCTAAAATGGGAACAACAGAGAGAGAGAGAGAGAGAGAGAGAGAGAGAGAGAGAGAGAGAGAGAGAGAGAGAGAGAGAGAGAGAGAGAGAGAGAGAGAGAGAGAGAGAGAGAGAGAGAGGAATATATTCTCATTACTTGCCCCAAAAAATAGACAAAAAAAATCCTATTATTCGAAAAGTGATAGAAAGAGAGGGTCTACAATCAGGCAGAGAGAGATTTGTGGTTTTGCAAATTGGCAGGCCATGTTGAAAAATTTACTTTATTAGCTCTTTTATAATTGAAAATAGTATGCACAAGATCTCAATTAATACGGTCAAGAAATTTAACCTCCGTCCCAAAAGAATGTCGATTATGCAAAATAACAACTTAAAAGTATATTTATCCAAAAAACCAAGCTTTTTTTTTTCGGTCTAATATTGTATAGCAGACAATCTTTTAGATATGGAAGGAGTAAAATTTTATAGTTGTTCTCGATGAGTTTTCATAGTTTGAGAAAATACATATTAAACTGGTGTATAGAGCAAGGATTAGATAATTAATCTCCTAAAGAGTAACTTTGGACTAAGAGGATTTTTTAAAGAGTAACTTTGTCTACTCAATGAGCTCTAAAAAAATTAATCAGATCATTGAAGTAAACTGTGGGTGAAAGCGGGTTCTGTGAGGTCGCTTACGTGTACAAAAGTGAACTGGAGAGGTGCGATTGGCCGATAATCAGTACCAAAGGGGAAAAGAGGAATAATCTCGTGGGGTGAGGGCTGGAGCAAGAGGTACGGAAAAGACAAAGGCAACGTGTCTCCTTTGTTCTCCGCGGGGGTGAATGACGTCTGCCCTTTCTGGAATCGGATGAGTGAGGTCACCTTCTCTCCGGGGAAGAATGTTCTCCTTCCTCAGAATCAGTGCTCTCTCTATATCTTCTTTTCCAGAAAAGTCAGCCTCTGGCAATCATTGGGAATGTCAGGGGTATTTATAGGGCACATGGGCCTAGGTCAGGCCCAGGACGGCGCTCCTATAAGACCCCGACACGTGTCCCTCCCGTACCTCCAGGTCGCGGAAGACTTGTTCTCCCGCGGAGGACTTCCGCGGGGGACCCGCACTTCCGCGACGCTACCTCCATCCCAAGCCACCAAGCCACAAGAGCTTCCCCAATTCCCGCAAGAGCGAGGTCGCGACCTGCGGCGATCGTTTGCCTTCCGCGGGATCTCTCCTGGGCCTGCCTTTTAGGCCCGAATAGGATCCCGTGGTCCTCTTACAGTTTCTGTATCAATTCTGGTATGTCTTTCAGTTCTCCCTGGCGGGGCCCGCGGGGGGGTCCTGCGGGATCTTCACTTCCGCGGGTCGGTTCCGCGGGGTCTTCAGTTCCGCGGGTCGGTTCCGCAGGCGTCCATCTTAATGTGCTACGTGTTCCCTTTCCATTGGTCAGTCAAACGTCTTCTTGGAATAGTGTTTTGACTAAGATTGACTTCCGCGTGGACCTGGTCGCCATGTGTCCACGGCCGATAGGCTGGTCAAAAGGTCTCCTTTGATGACGTGTCAATAATCTTGACCGCGCCTACATATGCCCCCCGCGCGCGTACGACAAGTGCACGTCGTCCGCGTGCGTACCATCCTCTTTGTAAGTTTCCGCGGTCATGCTGGGCTGGTTCCGCGGAGCAACGGGCATGATAACTGCTAACGTCTCTTCGTGTACCGTCATGACTCTTCGTGTGCAGACGTCATAAATGCCCCACCGTTTGACCACTATATAAACCCTTTGTCCTTTATTTTCTTTTTCACCAAACTCCAAATTTTCGTCGAAGTGCTGTCAATTTCTCTTCTGACTTTCGAGCGAACGTCTTTCTTGTCTCTTTCCATCCTTCGCGGTCAACACTTTCCTCTTTCTTTCACTTCACTCACAAATGGCTACGCGTGGTCCAATCGTCGAGATCCCAGTGCCCTCCGCGGACCAGTGGCAACGGGCCCCATACTTGCAGTCGGCTGGGGATCCATTCTGGGCCCTTGCTGGGGCGTATCCCGTTGTGGGTCCCCCCGTGGCTGACCCTACTTTCTTCACGGCCCCTGCCGCCCCGGAGGATGCAGAGCCCGTTAATCCCTCCTCGGTGCTTCGCCTTCGCCTTGAGCGTGGGGATTTCCCCTTTGTGGAATGCCGTTTCGGGGCCCAAGCTTCTGTGCCCCGGTAATCTCCGCTAGAAGCAGGTGCTGTTGGGCAGTGGTACTCTCGAGGCCGTCCAACTGTTGCGGCGTCTAGGCATTCCTCGACAGGGGGCTGCCGTCAAGAACTTGGAGTTCGCGTGCTCACGCTGGAGCAGTGATTCTCACTCCTTTGCATGGTCATGGGGGGAGAGTGGACTCTCGCTTGAGGATGTCCACATCCTCACCCGTCTGTCTCTACGCGGGGGCAACACCCTGGACTTCGCCAAGCTCTCGCGGGCGGATCAAGATGAGGTGGGGGCCTTGAAGGCGTTTCACAAGCAGGCCCAGAACGGGCCGATCTTCACCCTTCAAGGGGTCCGCAAGGACTTCGCGGCAAATGCCAAGAAGACCTCCCTCGGCAGCTGGCTGCGTTATTTTTTCAAGGACCTTCAGCCCGCGAGGACTGTCGCTCCTGGTGCTGAGCGAGACTTTGTTGAGGGCCCCCAATACGGCCGGCACCTCTACATGGCGGGCTTCTTCTCTTACTTCCTCTCGTACTTCGTCCTGCCCGACTATCCTGCCGATGGTCTGTCTCAGGCGGTCTTCCCGCTGGCCGTCCTCCTCGCCCACGGCCAACCTATTCCCCTAGCGCCGCTGTTTCTCGGGTCGCTCTACCGCCAACTGGACCTGGTTGCGGCTGATTATGCCAGGTCACTTGGTAGATGCGACCATATCTCGATGGCTCACTCCACCTTCTTGCTCGCGTACTTCTTCGAGCATTTTCGCACCGTCGCTCAGGGACCCCTGGTTTTCCAAGCGTCGGGGGTGCGATCCCGCGCGGAACAGTGGCACGGGGCCATCAGCGAGGACTTATGGTACGAGGCATGTGTTATCGAGGCAAACTTCACTCCACGTCCCTACAACATTCCTTCCCCGGGCGTCATGGGTGTGAGCCACTGCCTTCTCCCAGTCGGTTCTTCCCTCAATGCTGCGAGCGGCAACGATCCCACGGCGCGGACGGTGATCAACTCCGCGCTTCCGGGGTGGCTTCCGACTTTGTCCAGTGAGGGATCTGGGGTGGCGGTGTATCGCCGGATCGCTTCGCGAGGCAGTTGGGTTTTGACCAAGCGGTACCCGGCTCTGCTCCCGTGATGCCTTCTTTTGCGGAGTCACAGCTCCGATTCATGGCGGGAGAGCTTTCCCCTATCCTGGTGCAACTCGGAGATTTGCCCATCCCCGCCAGGGATAGGGTTTCAAGCTATACACGGGAGTTCCGTGCATTCTGGAGGAGAAACCTTGACTCTTTCTTGACGTTTGTCCGCGGGCAGGCCGTGGTCCTTGAGGTGCCTGAAATCCGGACTCGGGATACCTCTCTGCGGGCCATTACTGCAGTACGGGCAACTGAGTGGCGCGGACCCCGCAGTCAATGGGCCGTGATCCATGCGGAGCCTGTGAACAGGGTCTTTCCGGTGGAAGCACCTGCACCTCCTCAAGCTGCCCTGGGGCGAACCCGCGCGTGGGGACCCCGCGGGAGGACACAGCTTCCACCTCCTCCACCGGCAGGACCATCTCAACCGTCCTCCTCTCAGGCGCCCGCGGCGGTGGTGCCTCGCCGTCGAAAGCGTATCCGCAATGTAAGTGCCTTCCCATGTGTTCAATCATTTCCTTGCAATGCTTTTGGCTCTTTTTTCTCTCTGTTCTCTGAGGCTTATTCCCTCTGTCTTGCTCCTTCCTTTTCTTTAGCAGCGGGAGCGAGATGCTAGCACCTTCGTGGCCTATGAGCCAGAGGCAGCCGTGGCAGCGGCGGTAGCGGAAGAGGCAGCAGGTGGGGCGGAAGAGGATGCCCCAGACGCTCAGCCAAAGAGACGCCGCCTCGATGGTAAGCTTTGGTTTACTAGGATGTCCTTTCTGTTGCCTTGTGGCTTTCAGCCCTTGACTTGTATTTTGCCATGATTTCTCAAACAGTTCTGTCGGAGTCCGATGAAGAGGCGAACGAGGGCGCGGAGACAGGCGATGAGGATGACGATGATGATGATGAAGACGACCTCCCCATCAGCGCCTTGCAGGCCCGAGCGTCCGCGTCCGCGAGGGACCCTGTTGCGGCGGATGTCAGTATAGTGGAGATTTCTGACTCCCCGGAGGAACGGAGGGCAACGGAGGTGATTCAACCTCGAGCGGAGCCAGTTCCTTTCCTTCATCCGGAGCCTGAATCCTCCGCGGTCATCGGAGGTGATTCAACCTCTGAATCTCTGGTCTACGAAACCAGAGATTCTGGGTTCGATCCCCAGCAGAGTCGCCTAAATGTGGGTGAAAGCGGGTTCTGTGAGGTCGCTTACGTGTACAAAAGTGAGCTGGAGAGGTGCGATTGGCCGATAATCAGTACCAAAGGGGAAAAGAGGAATAATCTCGTGGGGTGAGAGCTGGAGCAAGAGGTACGGAAAAGACAAAGGCAACGTGTCTCCTTTGTTCTCCGCGGGGGTGAATGACGTCTGCCCTTTCTGGAATCGGATGAGTGAGGTCACCTTCTCTCCGTGGAAGAATGTTCTCCTTCCTCAGAATCAGTGCTCTCTCTCTATCTTCTTTTCCAGAAAAGTCAGCCTCTTTCTTCATAGTAGGCCAGTAATAACCTTGCCTCTGAATTCTCCTGTATAGGGCTATCTCGTTGTCCGCGCAGTTGTCGATGTGGATCCTGTCCAATACTTCTTCTGCCTCCTTCGCGCCAATACACTGCGCGAGCCATCCCTGCGGGCCGCGATAATACAATTCTCCGCGTAAAACTATGAAACTCGTCAGCTCCGCGGTGGATAGATGCCCTACGCCGGTGACTAACTGAATTTTAATAGATCCGCGCCAATCTTCGGTCGGCTCTGCGATGTCCTCCACCGCGGATGGCTCAAACATCTTCACAATTTCAATGCAGGCTCTGTCTTCCTCAAACCCCGTCTTTGCCCCCAGCGTTGTGAGAGCGTCCGGGAAACGGTTCTCCGATCTGGGTTTGTGGATGATACTGACACTTTCGAAGAATTTCATCAATTTCTGCACTGTTGTTCGGTATGGTGCCAGAGTTGGTTCCTTCAGCGCGTAGATCCCTTCCGTTTGCAAAACTACCAGCTTTGAGTCTCCCGCTATCCTTAGGTGCTTGACCCCTCTCTCTTTTGCCACTATTAGACCCAAGATTAATGCCTCGTATTCCGCTTCGTTGTTGGAGCATGAGAAATTCAATTTGTACGCCAGATGCACTCTATCTCCCCCTTCTGTTTGTAACACTATTCCCGCGCCTCCCGATCCACTACCCGCGGCCCCATCGAAGCTGAGCGTCCAGTGCTGTTCATCTGTGCTGGCCGCGAGAGCTTCGAAACCATCTCCGGGTAGACAATCTTCAAGCGGCTCGCATTGTCCACTTGGGAACTGAGCTAGGAGGTCCGCTAGGGCCTGACATTTGATTGCTTTCGGAGTTGCGCACGAGATGTCGAACTCCGCGAGTGCTAGCAGCCAGCGGGCGACCCGTCCCGTAAGGGCGGGGCGCGACAGAAGAAATTTCACGGGGTCGCACTTAGTGATTATCTGGATGGGAAAAGATAGGAAATAGTGCCGGAGCTTCTGCGCGGTAAAGACGAGGGCCAAACAATGTCTTTCTATGGCGGTATACCTTTCCTCTGCTCCGTGTACCTTCCTGCTGATGTAGTAGACTGGGCGCTCTGCCCCATCTACCTCTTGCACCAGCAGGGCCCCAATGGATCTCGGGGTAGAGGTCAGATAAAGGATCAGCGGCTTCCCCGAGACTGGTGCCACCATTGTCTGAGGAGAAGTCAATGCCGCTTTAATCCGCTGAAACGCCTGCTGATGGTCTTTCTTCCATTCAAACTTTGCATTTCCCTTTAATAGGTCCGCAAATGGTGTCGCGATCTCCGTCATCGCGGGAATAAAACGGCGAAGGTATGATACCTTCCCTAGGAATCGCTTGAGCGTTTTCTGTGAGTAGGGCGGGGGCATTTCTGCGATAGACTTGATCTTGGCCTCGTCCGCGTCGATTCCGTGGCGATGTACCAGGAAGCCCAAGAATTTTCCCGCGGTGACTCTAAATGCGCACTTCAACGGATTCATCTTGAGATTGAACTTTCTGCATCTTGCGAAAACAGTGGCTAAGTCCGCGAGATGGTCCTTGCGCTCTTTGGATTTCACCACCAAGTCATCCACGTAATCTTCAATTATCTTGTGCATGAGGTCGTGAAAAATTGCTGTCATGACCCGCTGGTATGTTGCCCCCGCATTTTTGAGCCCAAAAGGCATTACGATGTAGTAGAAGTTTCCCAATGGTGTCCGAAATGCCGTCTTCTCCGCGTCCTCCGGAGCCATTTTGATCTGGTTGTACCCGCTGAAACCGTCCATGAAAGAGAACATCTGGTGACCTGAAGTGGCATCCACCAGTGTATCAATGTGTGGCAGCAGGAACTCATCTTTTGGACACGCTTTGTTGAGGTCGCGGAAGTCGACGCAAACTCGAATTTGCCCATTTTTCTTCTTCACAGGGACAATGTTTGCCAGCCACTCCGGGTACTGGATAGGGCGAATGAATCCTGCCTTCCGCAGCTTCTCGACTTCTTCCTTGATCTGTCCTTCCAAATCTGGGTGGTATTTCCGCTGGGACTGTTTCGCGGGCTTAGAGTTTGGGAAGGTATCCAAGTGGTGCGTGACCAGCTCTGGATCCAACCCGGGCATCTCCTCATAGTGCCACGCGAACACGTCCGAGTTGGCACGTAGTAATGTTATCAGTTTCTCGCGGAACTCTCCGCTCAACTCCTTACTTATAAACACCGGCTTTTTGGGGCCTACCCCGTCGCTTAGATCAACTTCTTCTAGAGCCTCTTGCTGCGGCCTGGGCTGGTCTTGCATGCATTCCGGAGCGGGCTCCGGCTTGTCTATTACCTCTTCTTCTTCCGCCGTGGCACATGTACCGCCGGGGCCAGCGGTTTCATGATCATCCGCTGCCCCGGTGGACCGTCACAAATAATACACTGTCTTACCCCCCCTCCTTCGTCTTAGTTATCTTCCTGGGGGCCGCGGCGTCTGCCGCAGCAGGGTCTCTCCGGCGCGTCTCCGGCTTTTCATCTCTGATGTCCTCCCATCTTGGGATCTTGACTGCGCGAGGCTTGGCGGTGATCGCCTGAGATACCTCGCCCAGTTCTGAGAAGTAGACCGCGTCTGAGAGGTGTGTTTCACTGGTATCAAAAGGATTTTCAGACGCGCAAACTGTGACCTTCTTTCCCGCCCAGATTCCCTTCAAGCATTGGTGGTAACTAGACGGTACGACCGCGTACTTGTGCATCCAACTTCTTCCGAGAATAATCTGATAATTCGGGTCCGCGTTGATGAGATGGAATTTAGTGGCCGAGCGGATTGCCCCCACTTCTAGGTCTACCACCACGTATCCCAGGGACTGCTTCTTGTCTCCTCCAAATCCCGTGATGGTTATTGGAGATTCCACTATTCTGTTAGACTGTATTCCACTTTCTGGAACGTCGACATTGGCATCAGGTTTATGGAGGCTCCGCCATCTAAGAAAGTCCTCTTTAGCTCCATCCCGTTGACGCGGGATGTAACGTACAGCGGGCGGTTATGGGGGTAAGGCACCCGTCGATCCACGTCCGAGAAGGTGACTGAGTTAGACTCATCGCGGATCGTCCGCGGGACTGACCCCTCCGCGGTCATGCACGACTCCTGATGAACCTCCGCGATGTTGACAATCGCCTTTGTAATTTCCAATCTTGCCGCCGGTGTGAACCCGAAACCGTCGAAGAATGCGCGGAACTTCGCACTGTTCTGTAATGTTTTGGCCGAGGCATTGGGATCCGGTATCACCGCGGGGGCTGGACCCTCCCCGAATTCTTCCGTTATTTCGTAGCACGAGACCATGTAGGCCCCTGCTTCTTCATCTTCTCCTCCCATGTAGTAGTTGCTTTCGGCCTTGTCATCATCATTGTACATGAATGGGTAGCACTCCGCCATGTTGACCTCCCCGTTGTTTCCGTGAGCTGGATAAGGCTCGTCGCGGACGTCGCGCCGTCCTATCCTTAGCTCATTCGCGTTCTGCTTCCGTTTGAACAATCTCTTCAACGACCAACAATCGCTTGTCGGGTGCTTGGTGTGCCTGTGGTACATACAGTACCTCGGGTGCTCGCGGTCCTCCCGCGTCGGCTCATACTCCACTGGGGGGAGCGTCAACTCTCCATCCTGCACCCATGCATTCACCAAGGCCCGCACTTCATCCATCGTACAGGGGAAGTCTGGTGCTGGCCCCATCTCGCGCTCTCTCCGCTTTCGTGTCCCCGCGGCCTGCTGAGTCCGCGGCACATCCGCGACAGCCACGGAGGCGCTGGCGGCCTTGCCTTTCCAAGCATCCTTTCTTGCCGGTTTGACCACATGGCGGATGTTGTACACCGACTCCAATAAGGCAGAGAATGTTCCCAACTTCAAATTAATGAGTAACATCTTAAATTCGTCCATCATCCCACCGATGCAAATTTCCACCAGTTGTACCTCCTTTGCGGACTCGGTGCAATCAACTGCACGATCCTGAAACCTTCTGATGTAGTCCACCACGTCTTCTCCGCTAGCCTGCGTTTCTTTCGTCAAGCTGATCACTGTAACCTTTTCGCGGACCTGGAAGAACTTGGCGTAGAAGCTGTTCACCATTTCTTCCCAGGTGGTGATCGAGTAAGGCTCCAGGTTGACGTACCAAATATACGCGCGCGAGGTGAGGGACTTCGAGAATTCCCGCAGCCGCAAGTTATGATCGGACGCGTGGACCCCCAGAGACTCCATGAAACGGACTACATGTTCCTGGGCACTTCCCTCTTTTCCGTCAAACTTTACAAATTTCGGTGGGGTATACCCTTCCGGGTATGGTAGTGATAGGATCGTCATAGGATAAGGCGGGCGGATATCCGGGCTAGGGAGAGAGGGCAAGACCATCTTGGTTTTCTCCTTAGTGAGGAGGGCTTGTACGTCCGCCAGGGTGATGAACTGTCCCGCGGACGAGGCCCCAACTTCAGTAACGGTCGGCTCCTTTCTGCTCGCCTCACTCGCCTTCTGTTGTGCTAGCAGAGCCTGGACTTCCGCCATGGTAATATAGGGTCCCGCGGAGGGCGTGCTAGCACCGTCAGCGGCTGCCTCCTTCTGGCGGTCTCCAGTGTTATTTCCCGCGACGCCTCCTACGAGTATAGAGGCACCGTTGGGGGAAACTGGAGCTGCATTGTCTGGCTAGTGCTGCCCCCCGCTTGGTTCTGTGGCGGTTCG